AAGTAGGTAATTTTTGGCCTAAACTGATAGTGAGGAATGCAAATTAAAGTTTAGTTAATAAGCTTTCAGATGCAATTTACAGAAATTAAATATGACATCGCATTTAATTGTTATTGCACGGAAATACGGTAAAAGTGAAAATTTTTGCGATTTTTGAAAATTTTTGAATTGCTCTCATTTCCAAACTAATAGACAGATTTAGCTCATCTTAAAAATTAACCTCAGAAACCGTCTTAAAAAAAAGTATGTTACGTTTTATTAGGATCCATAAAGAATTGCGGGAGTTAGAGCATAGACAATGCGGATTATATCGTATATATACATAAATAAACTTTTGAACCATATACATTTTTTGAACCCGCTTGACGAGCTGAGTCGAAATATTGCAAAATTTTTCAAAAGTTCAGTCATGAGGACCAATGCAATAGTTAGATTTCTATGAAATTTACTAAAAAATCTATAAACATGTATGACTATATTAGGCTTCATATAGGCTCATAAGTCGTATAAGGACATAGTAAACCTTATAAAAAAATTTTTTAACATAATTGTCTAGAGAGAAATTAAATTTTGTTTTGAAAAATTTCTTGCTTCAAATAATTAAAGTTAAGTTTTTCTTTTGCGTAGTTTTTTTTTCCTAAAAAAGCTTTTTTAACTATTTATTTTCCTTTTCCTTTTTTAAAACATAAGCACTATAACCAATTACTAAATTTCTACTAAATAATTTATTTTTGTATTCCAATTTCAAATTTAATTTATTATCAGTTTATAATCTCATTATTCATAAAGATTTATTTATAATTTTGTATTTTTTGCGTATAAGCATTTGAAAAATTAATTTTTTAATTTTCCGAAATTTCACAATTTAAAATAAAATCAAGCTCATCTATCTAAGAGTGTTCTTGAATACAATAACATTCTTATTTATTTGATCGAATAGCGATAGAATCAATAAAAAAAAAGAATAAAAAAAAACTATTCAGAAGGAAATCCCTACGTTATGAGGCATGCAATAAATAAATAAATAATAATAATTTATCGGTAAAAAAATATCGTTATTTGTTTGATTTATTTGCATGAAGAAAGCATAAATAAAAAATATCAAAATTCAATGAGTTATAAAATTTGAGCCTTTAAACTTTTATACGGATGTTAATATGGTCATATGTAATAAATCATGCGAGCATTTGCACGTTTACAGTTGGTTTAACGCGAACTACATAGCACTAGTATAGACAGTAGACCGTAGATATATAAATACACTATTATATATATGTAGATATGAAAAATAAAAATAAAAGAAAATATAATATAATAGAGAATGAAATGAAAATGAAAACGAAAGGAAAACAAACGAGCAAACGAGTAAGATAGATAGTACACAACAGGGAGGTTATAATATGAAAAGTGGAATCAAGTAGTCGTAATACGAGTCCCGGTAACCGTACACATTCATTAGTAGGTAAAAACTTGGTGCCTTAACTTGCTGTTGCTTTTACCCAACCAGAGTACGAATATATAAGCCGTGGTGTTGTTATTTTCGTTGTAATATTATAAGGGTGACGAAAGGAGCTCTTGTGTAGTATAGGGTTGAATTTTTTACGAGGATATTAACGAGTATTTGGGGTCGTAACTGTGCATGTGTTGGCTGACTAGACGGTGATATCTTTATTGTGGCGTGAAAAACTACTTAATTTAAGAAAAATATTATCTTTAAATTCTTACTTTAATATCCAAATATTTTCAAAATGTTTTTCTTGGTTCAAGATTTTTTTTCTTGAATCATTATTTTTTTTTTTAGTGTACAAAGTCAAAGATTTATTTTATTTACACTTAAAAATTTACTTTTTCAAGAATTTTCAACAATTATCAGAATTAAGTATTTTTTTCAGTACAACAATTTTAAAATCAATAAATTAGAAAATATGTTAAATTGACCTTATCTACAAATGTTAAAATTCACAAAACCATTTTATTACTTCTGAAACTTTTTAGAAGTAGTTTTACAACTAATTTCATATCTGAGTTAACGCTGTAGATACCTCAGAGCAATTTATTATTGTAACTGTAACTAGGATAGAATTGCTCTCTTAGTTTATTTCATTTGTCGGGTCGTTAGTAGCTTCTAGCTAGCTGTCTATGAAATATTTCTGGTATTATTTTTATGTAGAAGTCACTTTATATCCCAAATGATCAACGACTGTTTTTTAAAAATAAATTCACGATTATTTTTAACTTCAATTTTTACTTAAGACACAAAAATTCGTTTAGCTTAAAAAAATTAAAAAACTGTGAATTTAATATTAAAACACAAAGCATAGATGTTCCTCACATTCCTTTGTCAGAGACAAGCTTTAAGACGGATAAGCTAATTTTGATGAAATTTTCAATAAGCGAAACAATCTATTGTGTCTCACAAGCCATTCACTCAACATCTCAATAAAGATTCATTTTTTGAATACCCATATACTATAAACTGACAGCATAAATCCAGTTGATCTGTTACTGACGTTTATTGCGTTGCGTCTTAGGTGTGCAATAAGATAAAAATAAGTTGTATTATCTTCTTATAATTTTAAAGGTCAATTATTAAAACTATAGAATTTGATATTTTAAATAATCTTTTTTCAGCAAAGTGGTTCTAGAGTAAATATGAATTTTAATTCGAATAACTTCTAAGTAACAAATTTTTAGACTTAAATAAATTTTTATTCAGTTAAAATAAGTTTAATATGCAAAATTACTAACAAATATTTCAAACAATTTATCTAAAGTTTGTCTAAAGTTTAAACAATTTATCTAAAGTTTTTGGATCAATTAACAAAATTTTCATAAAAATTATTTTCATGTCCTAACGTAAAAAGTCAAAAATAATAAATTACTAACATAACTACAATTAATTAAATTTAATTACTTTAATGTCACTGAAATTAAATGACATATGGCGATTTCTTAACGAATAAATTATTATAGAGAGAATTTTTCAAACTTGTAGAAATAAAAAAACAATATTAATACAATTTTTTTTTTAAGTATTAAAATTTGTATATTTTATCAAACTAAGGAAAAAGTTTAAATTAATTTTTAATATCTTTAAATACGCTTTTCCTATCTTTTAAACAAGTAACTATTTTTTTATTAAAAAAAAAATCAAGAAGTTTATTATCGAATAGATTAATGAAAATAATTCTATTAAAATTAATTCCGATTTTTGAAGTTTAAGGATAAAAGCATATATATCTCGCAATATATCCGGAATTATTCAAATTAGCCGTCTTTATCTTCTAAAATAGTTCGTTTGATGACTAATGAGCACTGTAACGATTGTATCGTCGACCATGAAGTTAGTTTAGTTCATAAAGAATGCAATAACAGATTCATGATAAAGTACAGCTTATGAACTAAAAAGGGATGAAGCTTCAAGCTGAAAGTTTCCTTGGATGAAGTCGCGGAGAAAGTCGAGTTTTAAAAGTTGTTGAAGTGAATGATAATAGCAGGACAGAAAAAAACAAAAATGAATAACTTTAATGCTTAAAGATGAAAGCCAAGTTTTGCAATGGTAAAATTTAAGGTTTCTACACACATATACTTCATATTTCATTTATTATATATGTAAATCTTCAGCTTGTGGTTGTGGAGAGCTTGAAAAGGGATTTATGTTGTTTGTTGCGTGTATCATACTACATTATATTTTATTGAATAGTGCGCAAACGCAGTAGGCAGAAAGATAAAGAGAAAAATATAAAACTATTATTTCTTCTACATATATAAAAAAAAAGTGAGGTATAAAAATAATATAAAGAAAATTCGTACTGTAGGATGAAAAATATTTTGAAAGTTCAGGCTATAAGTTTGTCTTTAGTGGCTCACGTTTGAGCGCTCATTGTAGATGCAGTTTTGAGGTCAGTTTAGCGTACACGAGTTTTATGTTTTTGCTTATTAGTTTCTGCACTTGAAAATATTTTTAAATATCAAGTGAAAAGTTTTAAGAAAAGAAGAAGGCGCTTTATAAGGAGCTGGAAAAATGAAAGTACTTTTTATGATTGAAAGTTGTTTTCATGATTAAAAAATTTTATGAATCAGTCATATTTTAATTAAAGTAATGTAAAAATTTTTTTTTTTTTTAACGATATTCTGATATTCATTGATTGTATACGCTTGAAGGACTCAATTTTTAATCATATCGATTATTGTCGAGATCTTGACACACAAAGACATTCTTAAGAAATTTTAGAATGCTTGGAATGTTAAAGCTTCTTGAAATAATTCGAAATACTTCTAAAAGATGAGAACACTTCAATTTCAGAAAAATATTTATTGAATGTATTTGAAACAATTGAACTTTGTTGAGAATATTTTTATAAAAAACTGTGAAATATTTTAGAAAACTATTTAAATTTAAACTGTATAGAAAATTTTTAAACTACACTGATGAAAAAATTAATATGAAAAAAAAAAAATTTTAAACCAAGAAAATAATTGTGAAGAATTTATTTATCACAATCATCGTGAATTAAGAAGAAAAACCATTTTCTTTTTTCATAAATTCTTTCTTTAGTCATCAATTTTTTTATAAAAAAAAATTTCATAACTTTTGAGAATTGTTTAAAGGTTCCTGAAATAATTTGGAATGCTTTGAATATTTAAAAACAAATTTAAATAAATTTATCATTGAACTTTTTTCAGAATATTTTTGTAATAAGATGTGAAATTTTTTTACAAAACTATTGAACTTTAAATTGTCTAAAAAAAATTATCTAGATTTGAATAATTTTTTCTTGATTGAAAAAATTATTATGCTTAATTTAATCAAATTTGTGATTTAAAATTTTTTCTTTCAAAGCAAACTAATTTTTCTTTTATTTTTGTTAAAAACATTGAACAAAAACCTTGATTTTTTTTACAAAAAAAAATTATATTCCACTAGTTTTAGTATCTAAAAAATAATTGAAAGAAAATAAAAAACAAAATTAATGTACTATTTTTCTTTTATATTTCAGTTATTTATGATTGATAACTGCGCAGATGACTGGCGAATCGCAATGACATGGCAACGAATATCTCAAATAACGATAGAGCTAACAATTTGTGCAATTCATCCGATACCTGGCGAATATTACTTCCTATGGACGACTAAATTGGCGAATAAGGGTGGTGACATCGGATCACAATGGGTGCCATACGATGTGACACTCTCGTTGCCAATGTTCCTGCGACTTTACCTCATTTGCCGGGTGATGTTACTGCACTCAAAATTATTTACCGACGCCTCGTCGCGAAGCATAGGTGCCTTGAACCGCATCAATTTCAACACGAGGTTCGTCCTCAAAACACTCATGACCATCTGCCCCGGTACCGTGTTGTTAGTCTTTATGGTGTCGCTCTGGATCATCGCATCCTGGACGTTACGACAGTGTGAAAGGTACTTTTTTATTTTTATATTATCAATTAATTACATAAAATTTTTAATCAAATCCCATTTATCCTCTATTATCCTCGCATTTATTCAACCGATAATTTACTAATTACTCAGTCTCGTTATTCTAAATCCAATCTTCTTTAATTGTACAGAATTATCAATCATTTAATCAATTTGTTAATTAATTATCGAATTTACAAACTGATAGAAAGCTAACGATACTTAGAAAAAACTTTCTGTTAAATTGTAAAAAAGATAATGCTAATTTTAAATTATTCATTTATCAGTCTGAATATTGATGCAATTAATAGTTAATTCGGATGAATAATTATAGGACGGAACTGTTTTAAATAGTGTCGTAATTATCGTCAATCAAGTGCAGTAAATGAGATAAAAAGGGCCGTTACTGTCTGAATAGCTCAAATCGATTATCATTTACCTGCAAAGAAGATTAATTGTAGCGTAAAAAACTTAAAAAAATATGCCTTAATAACAAACTAAAATAAATTTAAAATAAGAATAGATCAAGAAAAAATTTATTTAATTGCAAAAAAAGCGTGTGATGCTTCATACAATTATTGTAAATAGTTTATTTATAGATATTTATAAACGCAAAGTTATAAAAGTATCTTAAAAAGCATCGATTGCCTTTTTTTAGAATAGAATAAATTTTTTGATGCGTATTTTTTAGTTTTTTCAACAATTTTTAGTATAGTTAACAATCAGAAGCGTTTAATTGAAGTATTTTATTTAATTAAAATTAAGCCGTTACTTAAAATTCAATGATGAATTATATATTTTTTTCAAATATATAACTGAAAAAAATTACATATAACGTGAGTTATTAAACGTCAGGATTTTAGTTTAAAAAGATCCGCGCTTTTTACTGAAAAAACGCCACTTTCAAGTATAGTTATAATACCTGTATATTCCTACCGCCATCTCTCGGAATAATCGATTGATCCACTCTTATAACTTAGACAAAAAATATGAAAATAAATCATGTAAGCAAACTATTCGTAACGTGATTGGTCGAATATATCATAAATATGAAAATATATGCAAACTCTATAGTCAGGCGCTCGCTTGCGCGCGCGAATTTGAATTCTAGTTCTTATATTAAAATAGAGATGAAATGTATGTGAAACCAATTTATTCGTGATGTGATTGGTCGAATATATCACAAGGATGAAAATATATGCAAACTCTATACTCAGGCGCGCGCTTGCGCACGTAAATTAAATTCTAGCAGAAGAAATCGCGCTAAAGTATGTGAAATTTAAAAGTCCAGTCGAGTGACTGAAAGAAATAAAAAGACGACACTGAAGAATAAATTGACAAGGATGAATAAAAAAGTAAAAGGGAATAGAGCGAAAAAATTGGAATGAAGAAGGTGAGACTGTAGAGTTGAGAGCTTTTCAATGGAGCAATGGAGCTTTGAAGCTCGATCGACCATTTATGGATAACGAGAGCATTTGTCTTTCAAATAGTTTAACATCTTTTTTATTTAACTTATTTCGTGAAAGGATAGTCGAACAAAGCTTGTATGGATGTATATTCGATGGCGATAAGAACCTTTCCGAGGATTGTTCCATTAACAGAATTACATTACTTTTGATATTCAAATGATGAATTCATTATTCAAGTTTAAAAATTCAGGTAATCATAGCTAAAACGTTTTGTCGAGGTGCTTTCATTATTTTTTAAATTAGCGGCTTTATTTCGAGTTCATTTATCAGATTGCTTATCTGAATAGGCTGTTCTCATGTTTCTCGGAGTGTGTCTAATGGAACATAAAATTAAGGAGGTAGTTTTTTTTTTTTCATGCCTAATAACTTCTAATTCATTTAAGGGGTTGAAAAAAATTTTTTTTCATTTTAGTGCAGTATTTTTTTTTTTATCTTTTTAATTGAAAAGTAAAAAAAGAAATTCATAAAATTTTAAATGCTTCAATAAAAGTTTTTATAAAATATTTTTTATCATATGCTTTATTATTATGAATTTTTTTTTTTTTATATTTGAAATGATTGAAGAGAAATTGAGATAGAATTACATGCATTACATTTTTAATATAAAAATGCAAGATAGTAATATATATTAAATTTATATATTTTCAGGCAGGTTTTATATTAAAATGAAAATTAAAAATATAATAAGTTATCGATTCCGTTTGATGTATATTACAAATTTAAACGATTAAATTTATGCGGCTTGAATTTTATCGGAAAGTTTACAAAGTATTTCCCCCAATTGATTTTTAAATTAAACCACAATTAAATCAAAGTTATTTTACTGTTTTTATTTTTTTAATATCAAATAATTTATCGAAGGGGCTTTTTAAAATGATGAAAAAGTAACTTTTTACAAGAAATCCCCTACGGAAAATTTGGTCCTATCTAAATATTATTTTATCTTAGGCCTATATATAATTTTAAAAGTAGTGAGAATTATTTACGCCCAAGTGTTGAGAGTAACACAAGTTACAAGGAAATATTCTGATCCTCTAGACGACATTAAAAAGATAAATCATGTCGGTACTTGTCCTTGCGGTTTTTTTTCCCGAATGAATTTTTATCATAGCTGAAAAAAAAAAAATTGTAATAATTTTTTTGTTGTTGCTTAAGTACACTGATATGTATGTAGCGAGAAAAGACACAAAATTCCCAGTGCAATAAAACTTGAACACGAAAGAAGAGAGAACAAATGTGTAAAACTCAAACATAACGATTGAGGGTCCAGAGATTACAGTACGTACTATCAATATATCACTGGTAACTACTGTGTCCAGTGGACTAGTACACCCAGCTGTTAAGCTCGACGTATACCTTCCCATGAAAAATAACGTTTATGGCTTTATCACTTGCTACGAAGCTTTATCCCAGGTTATTAAAACTCACACCAATTGCTACCCAGTAGTTTTTCACTCGGCATGACCAGCCGGAAAATAAACGACCGCAAAAAACCGCTGAAACTAAATAACAAAAACAAACACGTTGCGATTTTTTATTACTGAAAAAATTCACTGTTGAAAATAAACTGATGGACCCAAGTCCAAGCGAAGAAAATTTTAAACTTTCCCAGTCTCTTAGTTTAACGGCTACCAAAAATCATAAAGTTGTGTCGTAGATTAATTTTTAAAAACTGAATTTATTATCTCGTTTAGCTTTACTACTTCGTGGATGATTCATTAGATATACTCTGGTTATTTAATGTGGAAGATAATACAATCAGATGATTATGTTTTTATTGTTCAATTTTTGTATGGGAGAAAGTAGTAAACAAAGAAGAATAGCGTAGTGATAAAATTTATGAATGGCGAATAAGGAGCTTAAATATTTTTTTAATAATAGAAAGTTCGGGGTTGGAATGCTAAAAAAATAAGTTTATTGCACATTCATATTTGTATTGAATGACGGGAATTGAAATAAAAAAATTTTTGTAATCGGAAAGGAGTAAACAAAAAAAAAGGCCATTCGGCAGCCGAAATGGAAGTAGATTTCATAATGAATAGAAAAAAAACTACTAGGATTGTATACAAAAAAAAATTCATTGAGAATAAGGATAAAAATATAAATAGATTTTTATGAGATATATTGAACAAATCAATCGAAAAAATGACTGCAAGAAAATTAAAGCTGGTTTAATGGTCTTTAAAATGCAATTTACAAAAATTCGATTTGTTTCATTCAAAAGTTATGCGCGAAAGAATCTGCCAAAAAAAGAATTTTTATAATTTTGAAACCCTGTAATTTCTGAACTACTTGACCGATTTAGCTCATCTTTGAACTTGGCCTTGGTATTCATCTAAACATTAAATATGTTGAGTTTGGAAAAGATCCATTATGAATTAGCGACGCTATCGTCCGGATAAGCCGCATTATATCTTATATATATAAATAAATAAATACATATATAAACTTTTGAACTAATGGTATTTTCTAAACCAGCTTGAAGAACTGAGTCAAAAAATAGCAAAAATTTCAAAAGTTGCGTCATGAGAATAAATGCAATAGTTAGATTTCTATGAAATTTACTAAAAAAAATTCGCTTAATATTTAATTAAGAAATATAATCTTGAATAAATAAATGTTAGCGTAAAAAGAAATTATTAAGTGAAGTCTGATTTATCTTGTATGAAAATAAAAAAATGCTTTGCTTTATTATCAAATTTTATTTTGTTAATTCGCGAGTTAGATTTTTTAAAACAATTTAAACAATCAAATTCACTGATAGAAAGATTTGTTAATATTTAACTTAATAAACTTTCATAGCTGTTAATAAATGATTTTTTAACGTTCGACGATTTCATGAATATTTATTAAATTTTAATTGATATTTGTTTAGAACGTTGAATAAAAAGTGAGCATAAAAATTTTAGTTTTACACTTTTTATAACCCCGTAACTTCAATAGAATATTCCATTAGATCTGAAAAATATAGAAAAAATGAAATTAATAATAAAACAATGGCTGTAATAATTTACAGAATTTTTCTGCGGAGAGAATAATTAGTGTATTTTTTTTTCATAAAAAATTATGTTATTATTTGTTAAAAAATATTTATTTACATTTAATAAATTGTTTTTAAAAAAAAGGTCAATAAATTTTTCTATCGATGTAATTGTTTTTAATCAAGTAAAATTCAATAGATATAATTGCTATTTATAATTACTGTAAACAATAAACAAAAATCTATTAAATCGGGTCATATTGATTCAAAATGTTTATTCCACCTCAACTTTATAGCTTGTAATTAAATGTAAATATGAAATCCATTAAACGATGTTAATTGAATATTATTATCTAATATATGAAAATTATGCAGAAGCGTGTTGAGTTATTTGATATGCAATAATGATTATAATTAAAATAATTCAGGTTTCACGACGAAGAACATGCAAACCTGCTCAATGCTATGTGGCTCATCGCTATCACATTCCTGAGCGTCGGATTTGGTGATATTGTACCTAATACATATTGCGGGAGGGGTATTGCTGTATCTACAGGAATGATGGTAATACATCAATATTTATATTATTGATAATAAAAAAATTATAATAAATTTTTTATGTAGCATTACAAACAACAATATTAAATTTTTTTATTTTTCCTTCAAATTAGGGAGCAGGATGTACTGCATTACTCGTAGCGGTTGTTTCAAGAAAATTAGAACTCACAAGAGCAGAAAAACATGTACATAATTTTATGATGGATACACAATTAACGAAAAGAGTGAGTTGTTTTTCATTTTAATGAGTAAATTCATGCAATTTTATTTTATATTCTACTATAGAATATTTTTAATTGAAATTTTGAATTTTTAATGCACAATGTTTAATAAACAAAATAACTTTTGACAGTTGAAAAATGCAGCAGCTAACGTCTTACGGGAGACTTGGCTTATTTACAAACACACACGATTGGTTAAACGAGTTAATCCAGGTCGCGTGAGAACGCATCAACGTAAATTTCTACTAGCTATTTACGCGTAAGCTCATCTTCATTAATAATCGATATTTATTTTTTATCAATATTAATTAACTTTACTTTGTTATTTTTTTTAATCTGTTAAATTATAGACTCAGGAAAGTTAAAATGGACCAACGTAAGCTAATGGATAATGCTAATACGATAACGGATATGGCGAAGGTGAGTTTTATAATCGAAAAACTTTCGGTGGATCATAATACACGGTTTTTACTTTCCATCTTATTTTAATATTCCGGGTAAATACCTTACGGTATTTTATGATCGATTATTGATATTATACTAATTTACTAGTCTGTGGAATTTACCAAGATCTTGATCTGAGTGAAAAAATTATGATTTATTATTTTAATATTAATTTTTTTTTCTTCTACTAAGACCTTATTTTTCTCAAAGCTCTTCTGATCTTATAATCCCTTGAAATTTTTATTCACTTCACGAACAAATTCCTTGCTCGGGCTTTATATTTGTCTTAATTTAAAAAAAAAAAATTCATTTCTCACTTGAAATTATTGATTTTTCCACATCCGAAAATGAAAAGTTATACTTGACATTCCCTCCAAACGTTACAAGAGTAACTTAATTACTCTTATGACCTTTAATTGAATAGACACTTAAACTACTTATCCTCTAGTATTAGACTGTCTTGAATTGGCTAATTTTAAACATCTGTAATGTTTAAGAAGAATAATTTTTGTATCTTTCAAAAATTTTTTTAGATCAATTGAAAATTATGATTAAATAACTCTAAATTTATCGCAATTATCGCTAAGAAGATACAACTAAACCTGTCTAATTTTCTGAAACATGATATTTGAACTTCCTTGGATGTAATACACACGCTAACTAAAGCAAAGACGATGTTCTTGGCAAAGTCTTACTGACAACTCTATCAACAACTTCTTGTTCTCACAGTGCTAAGCTACCAGGGAAACTAAATTTACATATACATGAATAATGGCTCTTATTATTATTATTGTTATTAATATTATTATTTAATTTTTCTTTCAATTTTGATTAATTTAATTTTTATTATTTATATAATTAAAAATATATTAAAAATTTTATCTCCGGCGTATTTATATGATAAAATAATTTTTTTTTTTTAATTAAATTTAGTATCATTGAAAATATATTGACTTGAATTTTTGTCTATTCATGGGTTGATATTTTTTCGGTGATAATAAATTTATCATCAAAATAATTAATAGAATAAGCTAACTTTTTTGACGGGCATATTTTTATTTTAAAAGGGATTTTCATAGTTTAATTTGATATCTTTAGAGAAGTATTGATGTGAATTTGTACCTTTTCACAATTTTATCAATCAATTTATTATGTTAAGTTTTTGGAGGAGTTTAAACTAGTTTTTTGATTTTATAAATTTTTTTTGTAACATTTTTCTATTAAATTATTGGTAATTGATCCAGTATGGCAATATAATTTTTTCTAATTTATTTCAAAAGTATTCTAATTAGCTATCTTGTGATTGATTAAAAATATCGAAAAACTTATTAAAATAATAATAATTCAAAAAGAAAAATTCAATAAATATGTAAAAATTACCAATTTACTTCGTAAATATTTTACTTAGTGAAACTTTTCCACCAGGTGTCATCAATTATTAATTAAATTAAGTCTTGAAAGTTTCCACTCAATCTATTCAAGTTATTCTTCACATTGCTAAATTATGAGTATATAAATAACTATTTACATTTAAAGCCTGACCTTTAGATTTTTTATAAATAATAAATTTATAAATTTTTACCTTGAGTTAAGTTAAACATATGAAGGTTATTCATTTAAATAACTGCGAAAGTCCGGGCCCTACTTATAACAAATTACCAGCGGCAAAATTTTTGCCGCGAATTCAAAATAACAATTCATAATAAATGATTCAAATTTTCGATATTATGCCCAAAATATTGATCCTATAAAAATTTTTTTTAACAAAAGTTCAAATTTAGTTTTATAGAAATTTGTCCCTTATGTTCTTTTCTTATTAGGATCAATAATTTCACCGTAATTTCAACAGGAAGATTCATAATTATTAAAAAATTTTAAATTTTAATTGTGAATCTTAATTTTGCAATTACAGCGAAAATAGGGATTTTTATAAAAAATCATAAGAATTATTTCTGTTTATAAAATTAAATTTTAAACAACTTTTGTTAGATAAAATTTTTTAGAGACCAATATTTTCGCCGTAATATTGAAAATTTAACCATTTTTTTCAAATAGCGGCAAAAATTTTAACCCTACAAACGAAATTTCACCAACATAAAAAAAATGAATCAAAGTAACTAATAAATTTCTAATTTTGCAGACTCAAAATACGGTGTACGAAATAGTATCGGACATGAGTACCCGACAAGACGCTTTAGAAGAACGTCTGGTGAGCGTGGAGGAAAAATTGACGGCCCTCCAGGAACAGTTGGACGTGTTACCAGAAGCGATAACCCGTTGTCTAGCCCAGCACGCCGAGCGAATGGAGCAGCGTCGTAATTTCCTCCATCCCGACACAGCCGTGGCACTATCAGCGACCCCTAGTGGATGTGGCGGTTCAACCAGCGGTAACCTCGGAAACAGTCTCAACATCGGGATGACCGGGAACATGAACATGGGTGGTCATCATCCGTTGGCTAGCATGTCTAATTCACCATTACTGCCACACTCACGCAGTGTACCAAACGCACCAAGCACAATGTCCCTGCACCCGTGGCCAGTGAGTCCAGTGTTGCCCCCAGTGTCCAGCCGGACGCCCCATCTGGTGCCGGAAACAGGGGGCTTCCGTCAACAATCTTCGCAACAACAGCAACAGCAACAGCAGCAACATAATAACACACCAACGACGTCCCAATCTGTAACCAGGTTGACCACTCAGGCTGGCATGGGAGGACTCGGGACCAACCAGGGCTCAGATACGTCCCCGCACAGCTGAGCCACGTCTTTGCAGCCGCAGCACTCATATTAATATCAATAAGACAATTGAATTTTTATTGAGCCTTTGATAGAAACAACCGTGTCTTTTCTTCCATGTTTGCTAGTTCACTGACGCTCACTTGTGAGGGCGCTCACAATTCAGCCGAATTTAAATTAATATTTAAATTCTTAGCTAATAATTGCAATAGATAACATGGAAATAAGACACGGGTTCTTCCACTAGCTGCGGACTGCTCCCTGCCCAACTTGTGTGCCTGAAAAACTTATCTTTATTATTAAGGTATTCCACTCTTCTCGTTACTGTCTGTCTGTCTTTCTCTAAACCTCTACGATCTATCTCTAACCTATCTATATCTCTTGTATTAGTACCTTGTTTAATTGACATTACCGTTGATGTTGCGAGACATTTTATATTCCGTAATTGGATAAATAACGAATCTTATTATTAAATAAATCTTAAATTTTCAACAATAAAAATCTAAATCGAGTCAAACTCTCTATTTCTCTCTTTCACTTTCCTTTTTATCTATGCTGTCAATTATTTTTGATTATCAATTTAATAAAATATTTTGAAATTTAAATTCTGGCTAAGTAATAAGAGATAAAAAATTAAAGAGGACCTTATTTGTAGAAAATTAAATTATTTATAAAAAAGGTCTTTATTAATTTTATCGTATCTTTGATGGTTTACCTAGAATTTCGACAAAAAATCGCTATTAATATCATCGGTGACATTGATCTATCTTTATAGAAAATTATTTAAATAGAAATTCTGGCTAAACGACAACAGATAAAAGAAAATTTATAATGACCTATTTTTATAGGAAATTAAATTATCTATAAAAAAGGTCTTTACAGTTTTTTTTTGTTTCTCTAGTAGTTTAGCCAAAATTTTAATACAATGCCGCTATTAATATCATCGATAGCATTAATGCATTGTAATTAATTATAAATAATTTGACAGCGTAAACAAAAAAAATATTTATTATTAATATTAATAACATCTAATATTATATTCTTTCGATCAATACTCAACTTTATGAATGTTATATTTAAAACAACTATACATTTATTTTATTATTATTGTTTTTATTTTTATAGGGTTATAAATTATATAGTAATGGACTAGACTTATTGAAAAAATATCGATGGCCTTAAGGAATGGAGTATTTTTGGTGCAATTTTTTATTATCATTATTATATAATTATAAAAATAAAAAAATGAACTATTATACGTTTTAGCGTTAATCGAGACATAATTTCATACTATATATAGTATCGATTATCTACGCTCAAAAAAAAAAAAGCGGCATTCGAGATGATATTTATTTTTGTTTTTTCATAAGTAAATATAATAAAATAAAAATAATAATAATTAACAAAATATATCTCTAAGATAACAAATGCGAACTTCATTAATTGGCTAATTTATAATGAAGAATGCAAAGTGATTTTATTCGCTTTAACGTCCGTAGAATATAAATAAATAAATAAATAAATAAATAGGAATTATTATTATTGAATAAATAAATATATAAAGTCTAGTGTCTTTACAATTACGCACGTGTACAGGTATTGTGAAGGAATGTGTATTATAGTTATTATTATTCTTATTCTTATTAAAAAATAAAAAAAAAACATAAATATTTCATTGAAAATTTATAAATAAATAATTAAAAACAAAATGTGTTTTTTATGATGTACAGACAGTTAGTTTATCTATAGTATCAAGATCAAAGTATTTAAATTAAAACGAACATATTAATAATTTATTATTAGTAATTAATATTTAAAAATAAAATATTAATTTATTAAAAAAATTTGTTGCTCATTTTTGTTCTGTTTTTATGAATAAAGTTGAAAGGAAAGAGTGAAAGGAGGGATGAAAAATAAATAAAGTACAGACCTATTGTCTTGTCCATACTCATGCTTTTATTTTATAAAATTTTTATTTGTTTATTTAAATAATTGCATTACGATAGAATCGCCAAGGTTTGACAACGCGAAACGGGACCAAAATAATGACAACAGTTTAAAATATTTTCCTTTTTATTTTAATTATTTTTGGTTTTTGTTGTACATTAATAAAAGTTTTTAGTTAAATTTTTTCGCTATGCGCTGGACACGACAACTACACAATATTTTTATATAGAATTCTTGAAAGTGCATTCATTATAGTGCCAGATGACCTCGTTAGTTAAAAATAAATAAATAACTAAAACGTTCGAAATCATTATTGGAAAATATAACAGCAGCCTGTTTATTAAATAGCTAATACTATTCATACGTAATTTATTGTCATATTGCTTAGAATATTTTTTTTTTTTTAACTAATTATTATCTTCATTGTTACTGCGAAAATTGGTTATATTAATAACAAAACATAACCTTGATTAGAAAGTACGATACTGATAACAGATAGTCGATAATTGACTTTTTTTCTGAAGAAATTATTTATTATTAGAAATAAAACGGATTAATGTTGAAAATTAATTATTTATAAATATTTTGGAGCTTTATTTCAATATTTCTTCCATTAGGAAGAAAAACAATCAAGCAAACCCGCCATTTTGTTCTGTTTCATTGAAATTTTTGATAAGCGGAAGAAAATGGCGTAAAGTGATTCTATGACTTGAACTTAAATAATATTTAAAAAAAAATTATTGTTTATTATCGTACTTTCAAATCAAGCTGCTTTGTTCCAAGATAACCCAAAAATATAAAATTGTTTAATTTAAATTTAATTTATCCTATTCATTAAAAAATAAACTTGAAAATGGCGGTAAATATGAAATAAAAAGAGCCTATTGTTTAAAATAGAATAGAAAGTAAAAATTTTTTAAAGATAAAACCAATAAAAATGCTTAATTAATCTTAATACTTATTATTATCTTCCTTAAAGAAATATCCAGCTATTAAAATTACTCGAATCAAATACCGAAATAAAGACGAATAAAGTGCAATAATTAAACTAAAAATAAACCCCTATTGCATTAATTTAAAATGAATGAATTATAATTATATTGATAACGACAATGACATGATTAAGAAAATAAATCAAATGATTATAACAAATAACGAATAAAAAAAATGAAAAACAATGGATTAAATTAACGACGCAGTTCCCGTTTATACAATTAACGTTATTATAAAATAATTAAATAAACATTACTAATACACTATTAGTAAAGTAAAAAACATAATAACAATTATAAATAATAAAATCCTACTGTAGAATTTTACAGTTTTAAACTCCTAAATGAACCTCTTTAATAATAAACTTTACGAATATAGATATTATTATTATTATTATTATTACTATTGATAATTATTCAGCGGTTTATCACCGTGTAATTTTTACGTAAAATGACCAACAAATTACTAATTGATATACCGACTTACGTAATAAAATGAATAGATATTAATATTTATTATTATTATTATTGTTATTATTGTTATTATAATATTTATAATAATAAGTGAAAAATACAGAAGTTTTAATAAAATAAATTTTTTTTTTCTTTCACATATTTAATTACTGCGCAATTCTTTGAATATAAAAAATAATCATTATTATTATTATTATTACAATAATACTAATAACAATAATTATAATAAATTTATTAATTAAAACTAAATCTACGAATAATTAAAAATAATAACGAGACTTATGTTGTATTGTTTTATTTTAAACGCGAATTATCGACGCATATAGTATTTTAATAAATAAATAATTAATTAGTTACAATTGAAGAAGAAAAAAAAAATTAAAAGAAAAAACGAAAAATGTTATTTCGAGTTCTCAATTTTCAATTTGAAAATATTTAAGTCTTAATAATTATTAATAATAAAATAAACATTAGTTGTTAATAGTATTATTTAATTAGATTAATAATAGGCTTGAAGAGGTTATTAACATATAAATTTATTAAATTAATTATTCGCGCCTTAGCGGCGGAACAATGAACTTTAAGTGTGCATTTAACCTTTAATTATTTATAATTAATATGGAACATGTTGATTAAAAATAGCAGAAATTAGTTAATATTAACGGCTGCTAAATGAAATTATAAATTGGTACTCGAAAGAAATTATGTCAGCGACCGGCCATCTTGTCGTGCCAATAAACGAGTATTATATAGAGTTTTAAATTGATTACTCCAAAGAAAAAAAAAACGATTAATTGTTGTAATTATAATATGTAATAATAAAATTATCGATTGAAGAAATAAAATATCATAATCATTATGTTATTCAATCGATAAACAATTAACACGCAACGAATAATGAAAGTAGTCAATATAACTTGAGAATAATAAAAGTTTTAATAATTTTAAAACTAAAAAACGGCATAAAAAGATTTAAGACTTTAGCAGCGAATGCTTTTATTATCTTCTTCTTCTTTTTTTTTTGTCATATTCATTTTTGTTTTATTTTTATTATACAACTGGGACCACTTGGGAACTACTTAATTGGCCATTATTTAACCTTAACTACGCTTGCTGGATTTATAACAAGATTGCAACTGTACAACTTGTTACTTGGATACATTATTATTACCTAGGACGATATTAATTGTACATAAAATAATGTTTTTTTAATTTAAATCGTATTTTATATATTTAAATTAATTTTTAATATTTTATTTTAAAGTTAATGTATCTTTAAATAAACAAGAGTAATCTTAAATTGTAATTACTATTATAATATTAATTACAATGAATCTTGGCACAACTTACCGTTGGTCTTGGCAAGAAAATAATTTTATTGTTTTAAATGTATACATTAAGCTTAAATTATTGTAAATTTAATTGCACATTATTTTCAGTGTACAGTAACGTAATTATTTGTAAAAAAAATTTAGTACTATGTATAGAAAATTATATATTGTTGTTAATATTAAAATTCTTACGAGGAATTGATTGGCTGAGATTATCGCTTAGTACTTCGCTTTATTAATTTAAACGCATATTAATAATATATAAAAATTAATTTCTAAGCCATTAAATAAATTCATATTTTCATAACTGTACAGATCATCGCATAGACATTGAACAGCCATTGTTCTGAAGATCATAACCAAAAAAAAAAAAATTATCATTTATTATTAATAAATTTGAACGTTAATTTTATGTTATAATTTAATTTAATTAATTTTAATAGATATTACTGCCAATAAACAGTTTCTGTTTTAATATTATCAAACAAACTATTTATTGGTTATATTCTTCAGAAGTATGTAATTAATATTATCACATTCGAAAAAACTCATTAAACAATCGCTTATTGTTAAATAGCATGATAATAAATAGCTTATTTTTGTTGGTATATTGGTTTTTTTAATTGAAAAATCTCCGGTTTAGTATAAGATCCGTAACTTTAAGAAATTTGTGGTAATATTAGTTTTATTAATTCAAATTAAGGGAATTAGCGAGCTAAAAAAATTATTGATCCTTTTTTGTAATTTTTTTCTGCAAAACTTCTTTTTGAATTTTTTTTTTGTTATAAGTTTTATAAATTATACCAAGTTGCGCTTTTAATGCAAAGAAAGTGTAATTTAGAAAAATTATATTTCTGGAGCTGTAAAAATTAAAAATTATTTGAAGAAAATTTTTGGGCTGCCTAAACGTCGAGATTTGATTAAAGTTTATTCATAAAAATCTATTAAAATTTAATAATTTTCGGAATTTTCCATTTTCATAGCCAGAAGTTCAAAAAGTTCAATTTCTTACATGGAAAGTCAGAAAATAAAAATAACATTTTTCCACTCAGTTTGCAAAATTTGAACTTTCTTAAGTTGATTAAAGCAAAAAAATGTTCTTATTCACTCTTTTTTATTTACAGAGCAAAATAGTGTGAGCACCCATAATCTTAATTAAAGAAATGCTCGTGATCATTATAATAAATAATAATTAACAAAAAAAAATCTTACGGCTTTAAATTATTAAAAAAGATTTATTTAAACTAAGAAAATTCTTCGGAATACCTGACTTGTATTGAAGCATGATGAAATTTTCTTGAGACAAGAAAAATTAATTTCACCATCACACGAGCTTGCATGACCATGATAAATCTGAGATATTATTATCCATCTTCTTAATCTCTAGTTCAGTAGCATAGAAGCACCCATAATTTAAATAAATTTCAAATTATAAGTTCATTAATTTAAACAAAAATAATTAACAAGCTCAAAAGGAGTATTGATGATCCTTGAAGAATCTTGCAACAGTGTTTCCTGTTAAATATTAGCTACCTCTACTTAAATGAAGAATAAAAAAATAAATTCAAATAATTTATGTTAATTAATCACCTTTATTTATAAGAAAAATGACAAAAAATAATATGAAGTAATGAACGGAAGAATTGAAACATTATAAAAAAAATCGGACAGTTTTAAGTCTTGGATAGTTGTCGGCAGACGTATCATGTATTATTTGAGTTATTCTTTAAATTTTTATCCACATCATCAATATTTTTCGACCACGAGCAGCTTCGTTGTCTTGGAGATTTAGGCAGTGACCACGATTTGCTTCTTGATTGCCTTTTAGGCGATACAGACCGTGATTTGGCGCGTGTAACTTTAACCTTGCTGTGCTTGCGCTTGACGGTCTGGCGCGAGGATTTGAACTTATTTCCCGAGTGCGATCTGGACCTCCTGGTTGATTTTGAACGAGAGCGCCTGGATCTCGATCTGGATCTTGACTTGGTGCGTCTTCGTGACCTGGATCTAGATCTAGATCTAGATCTAGACCTGGACCTTGATCGTGACCTGGACTTTGATCGTGGACTCTCACTTCTACTTCTACGCCTTCGTCTCTTCGTACGGGATCTAGATCTTGATCTTGATCTCGTTCTTGACCTGTCGCGGTTCCACGACCTGGACCGCGACTTGGACCTAGACCTGGAGTGATCGCTGTCGTAGTAGTCGATGCCGGCTAGGTTAGCAAAGTACTTGTAGTACTGGTCATTGTACGAGTGTGGGTTGAACAAATGCATCCCTCGCGGATTTACACGGCCTCGACGCCCAGAAAATCCGCCGCGACCTCGGCCTCGAAAGAACCGATTCATTGGATTGGCTCCGTCGCCACCTCGACCCCGCATTCTCCCCGGAAACATCATCGCCGCTGCGTCGTAGAACCAAGGCTGAGGAAACTGCCCGTACATTGGCTGGAATCCCATGTTTTGATCCGCCGTGGAAGCTCCTGAATCATTTTTTTAATTTTTCTTAGTAAGTATTTAATTATATTAATAAAATGGTAATTATTTAGATTTTTTTAATGATTATAAAATTAAAAAAAAAATTTAGTTACTTATGGACAACTTTTTTTTTATGAATTATAAAAAATTACAAATTTTTAAAAACTTATTTAAAGTTTATGAAATTCTATATGTATATTTTTTTCGCAGTTTTAAAATAATAAAAAAATATGATACTGGAATTAACAGACATCTAACAATTTTATTACAATTTAATTATAATATATAATAGCAACCTTGCAGTCACTATGTGACTACCGTGACTTGTGAAATATAAAAAATGAAAATTTTGCTTTATTAAATAATGATTTTTATTAATTGCACTCTAATTACTTAAATATTGACGTTTTTAATGATATAAGCTCGTCCCGGTGTTACACTCATCAAGAGCTTTCATTTGAGTACCCACATGCATTTTGATATATTTTTCATATATACATATTTATATAATATATATAAAATATATGAAAATTTGATGTGGGTACTTAAATTAAAGGTCTCGATAAGTGTAACATCGGGATGAGCTTATATCTTTAAAAATGTCAATAGTTCTCAAGATACAAGGTCATTTCTTCATTATGTATCTAGAGATAGAGAATTTTCGAATGCAACCTAAAAACTGATCATCATAAATTGACTTGAAAAGGCACAAATTCAAATCAAGACCTTTGCAATGACACTAAATTTTACTAAAAAAAAAAACCGATTTTATCATATGACTATCCTGGACATAAAATTTTTCTTATTCTCTTAATAATGTAGATGAAAAAAATTTCGCATGGAGAAATCTTAAAAAATCATAAGTGAGAATTTTCAAAAACATTTTTTTTATCCTTATCAGTTTGTTACAAAAATTCGATAATTTATCGGATGTTTGCTGATTTTAGTATCATAAAAAATGCATATATATTGTTATTGAAATATTTTAGACATAGAACGGTTAAATAAAAAATTAAGACTAAAATAATACAGAAAAATTGTCAATATCTCTAGTAAAATTCTTAAATTTCTGTTAGCTATAAAATAATAATTTTTTTAGGTTCATGAAAGAATTTTTAAGCGTTTTACATGAAAGCTTTAACTGCCGTGTAGTAAAAAATTCATTATTAATTTTTGTTAGTCAACAATAAATATAAAAGATTTTATAAGGTTAATAAATTTTTTACGAGCTAGCCATTTATGGGAACATAAATTACCCCTACAAAAAAAATTGATCACATCGGTCTAAGGGTGGATTAATGTTTTCTTCATTTTAATTATTTTGTTAGTTAATGATGATACGATTTTATTTAACTGAAAAATCTGTAACTTTACTAAATCAGGAATATTTATTTACCTGGATATGAATCTGATTTATTAGCTAATGTACTTTTAAGTTTCTTCTTGTTAGTTTCTTCATCTGAATCATCACTAGAACTCGTTACATTCTTCTTATCTTTTTTCTGCAATAATTATTAACATTTGAGAATTAATTAAAAAAAAATTTCATCCTGAATTATCAAAATTACCTTTTTCTTTTTAACTTTTTTCGATTTCTTCTTCTTAGACTTTTTATCCTTCTTTTCACTTTTATCATTACCGTCACTATTTTTTTCATCGGCATCTTTGCTTTTTTCATTAGAATTACTTTTATCACCGATTGTAATTTCTCCCTTTTCAAGTTTTATCTGGAAAAGCCAATGATTAAATACATAAAATAAAATTCATGAACATAAATTACATCAACAAACCTCACCTTGATTCGATCAAACAGCTCGTCTAACAATCTAATACTTTCTAATTGTCGTTGAGCTTTGATGAGTTTTTGTTCTTCGCGTGCAATTTTCATAGATACTTTATCTTCTTCCTGTTTTCTGAACATCGTCAATGCTTTTCTCTTGCGTTTTTCTTCCCGTTTTTTACGTCTTATATATTTTGCATCTTTATCGGCTGCTTCTTTTTTCCTAAGGACATAAAAAACAATAAATTGTAATAAAGAAAGTAATATCATAAATAAAACCATTTCATAAAAAAAAAAAAAAAAAAAACTAGTAAGACATACAATTCTTCTTCTTTTTTCTTAGCCTCAGCTTCTTCACGTTTTCGCAATTTTTCCATAGCCATATGATCTTGAGCAATAAGTCGTTTACGTTCGAATTCACGCCTTGATACTGAATTATCACTCATATGTTTTGTTTTATCAAAATCAACCTTTAATAATAAAAAAAATTAATAATAGTATTAATAGTTTAACAATTGCAGTTAAACTATCTAGTTATCATAATAATAAATAGCTTATTTTTGTTGGTATATTGTAAAAATATTGATAGAAAATTGTAACAGCAAACAATCCCTCACTAATTTATTGTAAAAGTTAATTGCGGGTGCAAAATATTATAAAAAATTATTAAATGGGCCCAGTAATTGCAAAGGAACATAAATTAGTGTGCACTTATTAATGCCGTTAATAATATTAAACATAAATAAATAAGGGTCTCAATCGTAATCTTTTATACACAAATATCTTCATGTGAACAAATTAATTTAAATAAATGAAACAATATACACGTTTAATATTATTAGAAATTTTTTTGTTTTAAATTCAATTGTTGATGATTAATTTGTTAATTATTAATAAATTAATTACAATAACAATTGATTTATCGACAAGTTTACTACTGAATTTTTAGATCTAATCTACACGGTCTTTCAGAAAACTTACTACAGATAATAAACAATTTGAAATATTTATAAATCATTATAATAAGTAGCGTTTACGCGATTAAATTTATTAAAATTACATATTGCTATTTATTAGCGTTAAATTTTGAATAACGATTTATATAATGCACTTATCCGCACAAAATGTTCATTAATGAGTCATTAATTATAAATAATAACAAAAATATTGTATCAATAATAAAATTTCTGTTCGATTTACAGTAAACGAATAATATTTATTATTAATTACACGCTAAATGTTTCAAAGATATATAAATACGCTGATTTTATTTTTAATTCGTTGCTGTCTTAAATCAATGTTTGAAATAAAATAAATAATATATATGTTAATTAAAAATAAAAAAAATAAAAACATATTAATTAGGTGTTACAAAGAAAAATAAATTTAAAAATGACCTCTTCTAGTCTATAAACTTCTTAAATAAAATAAATAAGAAACAATTGTAAATAAGTGTTGATGTAAACAAAATTATGTTTGTATATATTGTTAAGTAGTTTTAAGTAAACCATAAAAATGATAAAATATAATGTAATAAACGTTATATTAACACGATAGAAAACAAATAAGCTATTATAACAAGAGAAATTTAATACTCATAACTGATTTCCTACTAGTTTAAATAAATTATCAAATGATAAAAATAAATTAATTGCTTTTGTCAATAATTTTATTTTCATTTTTATTTTAAGTTACTTAATAATTATAAGAGCTCTCGTATTTTTTTAGAAAAACCATTTCAAACCGACTCTAAATAATAATTAATTAAAAAAAAAAAATCCATCTTTGAAATAAAATAAATAATATATATGTTAGTAATAATACCTTAACAATTGCAGTTAAATAATTATTATCTTCTTTTTTCAAAACTTTCATCCCACGCAGTGAATCCATAAGTTTAACAAAATCAACGTACTCAATATATTGAATGTAAACATCAAAGAATATTCCATCATTTAAATTGCTTTTTTTATTAATATTATTATCTAATCTCATTCTTGATCTGTATGGATCAGCAGCAGGTACATCAATGCGCCTGATAATTCCCCATTTCTTGAAAATTTTCATACACAACGGTTCACTGGGTGTTTTGCCGCCGTCTTCGCTGAACCATTTGACCGGCAACCCAGAAATATAAATGGTGTCAGGACGCTCGCCAGGTTTCAGCTCATTCATGTGCTTGGCGTCGCGAAAAAAAGAGTCCCAGTTGTGCTTTGATGGAAAGTCATCCTTTGCTTCGACGGCTCGTACTTTGAGGATACTCGCAAACCCGGCCAGGTTTAGCCGCTGGCCCTCGAGACGACTTAGCACCTGGGCCATCCGACACTTGTCCGTCAAATCTGCCTCCAAGCGCAAAAACTCTAGAGTACTTTTGGAGACTTTCAGGGACGCAAACTCGTCCGGACGTATCAGCAAACGCAATTTCTCCATTACCTCCCATGTTGACAGTGTTTTTCCTATTGATATTGTAGTAATGTGCTGTAAAACCTGCTATGCCTAGAGATATTCCAGTTTTAAATTTTATAAGTAACCCGCCATTTTTTTCAATTACTCTTTTGGTTCCTGGTGGTGTTTATTTGTTAATTAATTTTTTCAATATTAATTAATAATATTTAAATAAAAACAAAAATTATCAATAATAATTTATTTGAATTATTTTTGTAGTAACTTTGCTTTTTTTTTTTTTTTTTTGAGGGATTTTTATCCTTAACTCATAAATTTTTTAATAAAAAGAAAAAAATAAATTCTAAAACTGGTATCAAAATTTATATAAACTATTCTATGTAATGACATTTATTGTAGTTAAAAAAATTATAAAATGACCCAGTAATTGATTCAATTTGAACTACAAAAAATATAAATATTAAAACTGCAAAAAATTGTCATAATCGATTAACAAATCATTACATTTTAAAATAATTACTTCACTGATGGAGAAACTTGAACAATTATTTTATGTATAATACAAAATCAAAAACTGGGTCATTAAAAAAAAATTGATTTTTATTTGTTGTAGGTTGAAATAATAATTAAGAACATAAAATTGCTCCGATGTATTATCATATAAATAATTATCTATATATGGTGGCATTGACATATTATTACTAAATTTTTTTGTACTTAAACATACCTTATTATATTTCACGATAAAATTAATAAAATAAAATGGGGTAAAACCAATAACTTTCCGATTTTTGAAAATTTTCAATTTTCTTAGCGGGAAGTTAAAAATTTATTCGTAAATAAAAATTGATGATTCGAAATATAATAAATATGTTTTCTATTATCAAGGGGGAGCTTTGTCCCTCAACCCCACCTGAGATTTTCTCTAGAACTTACAGGTCAATTTTTGTCATTTTTATTACCATTATTTTTATCATCATTGAATAATTATTGACAAAAAAATTATGGCAAGACTAATTTTTAATAAGAATAATTATGATAGCAATATATTTTTACTGAAAAAGTATGACGCGAGAAAAATTATGAAAAAAAAAAAAGGTTAGCATTATTATCAGTATTGGCCATTTTACAAGTACTAAATTTTAAATTTTTGCATGCTGCCATTCTGGCGTCATCATTAGCTATAGCTAGACTATTTCCGAATGTTGCCAATATCTACCAATACTTTATCCGATTACATTTTATAAAATTTAAAAATTTCCATATCGATTACCACCGATAGTATAATTGAATATTTTCATAAAACGATCCTAAAAACAGCAAACAGAAATTTCAAGTTTTTTTTCTAACCAACTTACTCGACGATAAAAAAGTAATTTTAAACCCTGATTCAGAAAGATGATTTGAAATGATTACCTTCATGTTAATTGTATATCTATATAGTATTCAAATCCGATGCATTTGTATCATTTCAAATAAGATTTCTTAATCAGGGAATGTACAGATAATTTTCTGTATTTCAAAAAATTAACAAAAATTACTGAATGTCTGCTATTTCCATGATCGTAATATGAATAATATTGAATCATCATACCAATTAAAATCAATTACCTAGCAAACAAATTAACGGAATTAGTAAATAAAGTAAAATACAATAATAACAATCGGAGCAATGTATTACCTGGAGTCTTCAATTGGGGAAGATTAACAGATATATTTATCTTAGCAATCGGTTTTAAATACAATCCTTTGGCTGAATATAAAGGAACAATGTCACTAAGATCTCTACAACACCGTAAACCATTTACATCCTCTCCACTTATTTTACCATCACCTACCTTTTTATCCTTACTCATTTTATTGCTAATTCATTTAATATATATCTATATAAATATATTTAATCTAATTTATTGCAAAAAATGAATTAACTACTGGTAATAATTAATTTTAACAAAAATACATTAATTAATTAATGCAAATAAATTTTAAAATCTAAAAATCATTCTTAAAGAAGAAAAATATTTAATTTAATTAAAAATAAGTAAATAAGTAAAAAATTAGTAGAAAGGATGTATTGATAAAATCGGATTATATGATCTCAGATAAATTATTCTCTGCATATCGGTATCATTTTCTTGGCTGTAATTTTCGTCGATAAAACCGAATCGCTTGAAAATCCGAAATCGGTCATTTTTAATGGAAATTATTTTTTAATGTTACTCTTGGGTTGTTTATTTTATCTTTTTCACTTGACAACACGAATTTTTCTCCGCAACGATGACATTTCACTTTACTTATTTATATTTTTATATTGACAAAATACAAGCACACAATCTTCCTTGTTGATCTTCAGTGATGAGTTGTTAGTATGGTGATATAAACAATAATTAATCGGTGATTTGTAGAAAAGTTTTATCACAACTTGTCTATTAATTTTGTTGTGAAATTATAAAAAATAGCCTCGGAAGCCAGTCGAGAATTTTTAGGTTAGTAAGTAAAAAGTGCTGCCGCAATGGAGTGGAGAGAATAAGACTTATTGATACTGTTAACCTTATCGACAGCTGAAAAATTTACCATTTAGAGATTTGAAATTTGAAAACCTCTCTATTAACAATTGTTGGTAAGCTAGTAAATTTTTGAAGATACTGAAATTAGCTGCCTTGATAGCCAAACCGGTCGCTTCTTTCCGTTGATTTGCTGCAGCAACTTGTCACCAAGTTGGCGGCAAGTCTTGGAAATGAACTCGGTTGTTCACCAAGTTGTCGCCAAGTTGTCGGCAGAAATTGCTTTCGAAACTCTTTCGCACCAAGTTGACGACAAGTTTCTCGAGAAATTTGGCGACATATTGCGGCAGTAGATTGGTCTTGTTTTTCTCAGAAACTTGTAGCCAACTTGACGCCAACAGTTTCAAATTCGGAAGTTGACCGCAAGTTGTCGGTAAGTTGGTGGCAACTATCTGACATCAACTTGGTTGGTCTGAAACTGTAGCTATCAGGGTGATTTCATATATTTTTTTAATTTGTACTAGAATTCAAATTTACGCGCGCAAGCGCGCGTCTGACTATAGAATTTACATATATTTTCATGCTTATGATATATTAGACCAATCACGTTAATAATAGTTTGATGCCACATACATTTCATCTCAATTTTATATTAGGACTAGAATTTAATTTTCGCGCGAATCACATCACGAATAAATTGGTTTCACATACATTTCATCTCAATTTTATTATGGGACTAGAATTTAATTTTCGCGCGCAAGCGCGCGCCTTGACTATAGAGTTTGCATATATTTTCATGCATATGATATATTCGACCAATCACGTTACGAATAGTTTGATGCCACATACATTTCATCTCAATTTTATATTAGGATAACAAAACAATTACATTAAAACAAATGCTTCAAAAAATTTCTCCTAATAATTTTATTTAATTTTCACATGTAGAATCTTTTTTTTTAATTTATTCATAATAATTTCATTACTTTAAAATTATTAAAAAATTTCTAATGTCAATCAACTTCAGTGTCTTAATTTATAATAATAAAGTTAGCCGACATTTTTGATGTTTTTTATTTTGCTTAATTTATTGAATTATAACTAAAAAATATTTTTTTTTAAATTGCACTTATAGTTTTTTAAAAACTTCAAAAACTATATTTCTTTGTAATCATTCTTCAATAAAATAAATTATAAAAATTTTTAGATGTCGGCTAACTTTATTTTCATTCTTAATTTTGATTACATTTTGATGAAAATATAATATATTTAGCCGACATCTGAAAATTTTTTTTATTGAAGAAATTACTACAAAAAAATTAAAAGAAAAAATTTCAAATATAGAAAAATTAATTGATGAAAAAGATCAAAATTTTTTAACGTCGGCTTATCTTAGTATCATATATTTTGATGTTAAACGAAATCAATAAAAGTTTGAAAATTTTTTCATTTTTGTCATTAATTCAAATAGAACAAAAATGTAATTTTAAAAAATTTCACTTATGGTTTGTTAATTATTCTAAATGTGGAATTCTACTTTTTACTTTTTTGTAATAATTTTTATAATAAGAAAAACTGTTTAAAGTCTAAATTGAAATATAAATATTTCACGCTAGATATACCATTTTTTTATCTGACTTTTTTCGTTTCATCAAAAAAATTTTTTGATTTTCGTTTTTTTATTCTTTATTTGAATCCTTTATTTAACCTTTTCAAAAATCAAAAATAGTAACAGCTAGGAAAATCTAGATTTTTTTTATAAATATAAAAAATAACGATGAAGATAGGTTTCAATAATTTTTTTGTATTCGTTATTTTTTTCAAAAAGTAAATTTAAAAATACAAATTAAAAAAAACGCCCCAATTAGTTAAATATTGTAAAAGTGCAGCTATTTAAAAAAACAAATTTTATTTTTTTAATTTATAACTTTTTCTCGGGCTGGCTAAAAAAAATTTGAAAAAATTCTGAAAGAAAGTTTTTTTTCATTCCATTACACTTATTATAGTAGTATTATCTATTAATGGAATTTTATAAACTAAATTGATTAATTCACACAATCAACGCATGATGATCATATTGCCTTTAGCGCTTGTTGCCTATATATTAATGCTCGTTGCAATGTCGATAACTAGTGCCTGTACAAACTCATTTAATTACAATGAAAGCATAAAACATACTCAAAATAAAAACGAAACGGACGCACCTATACCAATAATAAGTTCAACTGTCAAAAATATCGAGAGAAAAAATATTTCTCGTATTGCTATTATTCAAAAAATCCAAGAAGCAATTAAAGCTAATAACCGGATGTTTCCGGAGTGTCACGATCAAGAAATCGGCGAGTATATAAAAGATACTAAGAGCTTCTTGAATAAAAAATTTGAGCGTTGGAACGAAGATGATGTTGAAGATTTTCGGTACTATTGTGATTGCGGTGTAAATAAATTACAAATGTATGCTAAGTATTGCGATAAAACAGACATGGATGCCGCGACGGACATGATATATCACGTAGATGACAAAATTTTGAGATATTTTGATTACAAAAGAGCTGAAGAACAAAGTTTCTTTTATTGGGACTTTGCGATTTGTTTCACACGATTGCTAATTTGTTACGAATATCTCGGGGATGATGAGCTTGTAGATAACAAATTAATTTGTCATACTGTTGTGAATAGACTGACGAATGCATTGAACAATGACTTTTATTCTACTGAAGATTGGATGAGTCATAATGCGAAGAAAATCGTGTATTTAAATATCTCATATTTACTTACGAATTATTTATACAGCAAGAATAAATTTGAAGCGATGATTGATAACGATGCAATTAATTTGATTAAAAGATTTATACCACTGCTTCAAGATCAACAGTATAAACATTTTTATTTGGACTCATTTCGTGCTTTAGAAATGCATAATTATTAGATTAAATCAAAACAATTAACAATAAATTAACTGCAATACAATTCGCTGCATTAAAAAAACATTAATTTGATTCAAGGGAAAAATTTTTAAATAAGAAAATTATTTTAAAGAATTTCTTCGTCTTGATTTGAGTAAAAAAAATTTTTAATCTGATAAATTTTTCTTTGATTTAAGTAAATTTCACTTGATACAAAAACTTTTGCCTTGATTCAAGACAATGAAACTTATCAAAATAATTTTCTCGCGGTTCAAGAATTTTTATCTTAAAGCAAATTAATTTTTTTTTCAATACATAAATTAGCTAATTAATGACCCAGATCTCGATGACGCAGACAATTCCCATTTTAAATGATAGAAGAGGGATTATTAAGTGTAAAAAAGTAGATTTTAGTCAAAAAAATCAATATAAAGAGTTTCTTTGTTTTAAATCAAGCGGAAAATTGTTGAATCAAGTAAAATTTACTCAAAACAAGAATGATTTTTTAGTTTAGATAAATAAAAAATTTTATTTTATGTTATTCCAATAAATTTTCACATTCCTTACATTCTTAAGGTCCTTTGAAGAGAAAAAAAAAATTTTATATTACTAGCGCAATATTTGTGAATTAGAATTTTATCACAAAGAGCTTGTTTATAGTGAATCAAAATTATAATTAAAATAAGTTGATAAAGTTTAAAAAAATCTTAATATAAACTCTCTGAAGTTTACTTTTGTGAGTCGAAGATGTTGACTAAAAATTTTCCGCTTTCGTAAATTTTTTTTTTAAACATCAACAATATTTTCGTTTTTAATAAAAAAATAAAAAAAAAATGAATTTTCAGCCTACCCTATCACACAAAAATCAATTGTAATTTTTTTCATCACTTTTCTTTTATTATAAACAAAAATAAAATTTTTTTTTTAAGAATGCATTAGAAATGTTAATGCAAGTGCTATCTCAATACTCATATACTTTTATTACTCTGTGTAATATGAATGAATATTTTAAAGTCAAGTGGAATTAGGAGGATTGTTTGACCCTGACGAGTCATAAAATCTTTCATAGTTCTTGTAGATTGAAGAGTAAATTCAATAACTTTTTTTCCATAAACTTTTTAACATTTTCTGACAATTCTCCAAGGGATCATTCCCATTCAATACCTCAACTCTTGACAGCAAAATAGGTCAAAACACGCTGTCCATTTTACCCCATTCCTCTTAGCTCATTTAATGTTTCAGCAATAATCAGAACTCCTGAAAAATGAAACGCTTATCAAGTAACATCAAGATAAAAATTGATTTTTATAAATGAAAATGATACTTTGTTATAGATTTGTATGCGGCTTTGGCTCGGTTCCAATTTTCTAACACATGAAACACGAATCTCAATGTCTCTGTCGCATAGTTTAGTTTCTCTCCGTTCGTACTACTCGATAGTACAATGTATAACTCAACAATTCAAGTGCTACAACCACAACTACAACTGCAATAAAAAAACACACTCACCCTGAAAATTTTGTACAAGTAAAAGTAGTTTCCAGTAATCAGACCAAGAACTCGCCAAAAATAATAGAACAAGACAAGCTTCCTTCGAAAACAATTTTTATTATTATACTCTGACATTATGCAACATAAAAAGCGGCTCGATTAGCCAATAACTGGTGAAGGTGCTCAATGTCTCTTGTTATAATGTTTTTTTTTTACATATTTTATTATTAATATTATTAAAATTAAATATTGTTAACATAATTGTGTTCAGTTCATAGGGTATTGAAAAATATAAACGCCAGAGCACACGAGCGTCACATCTTTCCTTCTCGGATTGCAATCGATAGAGAGCGTCATGCCGGCGCCGAAGGTCTTTCTTCAACACTATACACTAGCATCTACACACTCTTCCTAATGTTTAATAATTTATCATCCTCATTATTCTATTTACCGAATATACAAGCTCACCCCCTCACCCTATAAATATTCAAACGTCTATCGCTATTTATAAATACAGACAAATTTATCTAAGGCTTATCAATAATACATAGAAAAGTTTGGATTTTTTCTATCAAGATATTTTATTTTGCTTAGTTTTTTGGGAAAAGGTTCCCAGACATAAATCAGCTGATTTATGTCTGACTGACTATTGAAGAATGGGGTAATTGATGGATCACTGTCTGGCTAAATAATTTAATAAAATTTGTGAATAAATTGCTGATATTTTGAGTTAATGACTGGGTATTACCTTGTAATCACTATTGAAATATTTAAAAAATTTTTTCTTGCCGAATTTTTAATAGTTTTAATGGTTAAATAAACATAATTTTAGACGCGGCAAAAATAATTTTTAATAATAAAATAATAACGTCTATCACTAAAAAGTTAATCACTCTTTAATATTATTGTTATTGTCATAAATCATAATAATTAAAATTTTATAACTTAACTACTAAAATAAGTGTAATTTCAAATTTTTAACTATCAAAAGATAAGATTAACATGTATTTGCGTGTTAAGTTATGATTATCTTTTTTATTTTAGTAAACTTGTATTTATATGTATAATTACGATCTTGTTAGTCGGTTTTTAAGCCTTGACATTGAAAATTAATGAATAAATATAAAATATAATGAAATAAATATAAAAAATCAATAATTAAATTTATTTTTTTACTCACATAATTTTCATATAAAATTTTATTAATCTCTAATACGGTGTAATGAATTTTTTTTTTTTTTAATTATTTCATATAATTTTAATTAATTTCTATACAACATCAAGTACACACGAGTTTTGTATTACAAAATGTGAGTTTCAGATATGAATCCGATATGGTGTACTGGTTAGCATATCTGGCTTTCACCCAGAAGATCCGGGTTCGATTCCCGGTATCGGAAATTTTTTTTTATTTTAATGAAATTTAATAAAATTTTTTTTATTAATATTTTAATTATATGATATTTGAAAAAAAATATTTTCATTTTTTTCTCAAATTTTCTATATTCTCTCGATAGATTTTCGTGTGTGGTCAGTTATGTAGAAGATGGCAAGTTAGAACGGCTATGTCGTCTCTAAACTAAAATATATACTAAAAATTTCGATTGCTTAAGTGAAAAAGCAGGTTGTTCCAAAATTTTCCAGTATACAACTGAACAATATTCTTTTTAATTATACTTTCATTATTTTTTTTTGGCAAATTTTTGAATTTCACAGTAATAATTTAAAAACATTTTTTTCTTACCGAATTTCCAACTTTAATTTGTTTAATTTTTCAAGCTCGTTAATTGCAGGACTCTATAAATTAATATGTAAAAAAATGTAGTGACAAATTAAAAAAATTCAATTTTTTTTTAATTTCAAGCTAAAAAAAAATATAAAAAATATTTTGTAAATTTTCATTAAAAGATTAATAAAATTTTTTTTCGATAATTTATTTTTTCTATTTTTTGTGATAAACAATAAATGGAGCCTCACTTCGTAACTACCCTCTAAAATGTATATTACATTTCTGGTCGAATAAATTTCACCCTTTTAATATTTCTTCTTGAAATGAAACTAATGTTTAGTTAGTATTTATAGATTAATTTTTTTTAAATTACCATATAATTTAATGAAAACATGAATATTCAAAATCCAAAGATCGCAATTTTTCCTATTTTTGTTAACAAATGGGCGCTTGAAGTATGCATTCTTTTGCATTTTTTTAGCTTGATTACGAGTGACTAAAAAAAGGCTCATTAAAGTCAAGTATCTAGCAAACTATTCGATAAGAAAAAATCAGATTATAATTAGAAATAATCTTATAAATACTTTAAATAATGATTTATAAAAAAAATAATAATAATAAAATTCATATTCTCTTTTCTTATTAATTGGTTTGCTCTGTATTTTTTGTTCTAGTGATTTGATTTTATTGAAGCACGATTTAAATAACAAAACAAAATCCTCATGTTGGATTGTACGACTCCAATTGTTTTAATAAAAAAATCAATTGAGTCTGTATTTATAGTGTATTACCAAGTATTTATTGTACAATTTTATTTCATTTATCGTGGTGTAAATTTATTTGCGCAAATGTGTATTAGATTCCGTATTGAAAAGTCATACTAAAAAATAAACTTATCTGGCAGAACTCAAGATAAAAATAAATATACACATTATTGTCGGAAATAAATTGCTTTTTTGTGTCGAGAAAATCAAATCTAACAAGCTTCGAAGATAATATATGTATTATATATTTAAAATTGAGTATGTTTTTATTGTTGTCAATCAACTTGGACAATAATTTTAGTAAAAACAATTTTCATGCAAAAATATGAAAGTTTATTCATTTTTATCTTTTTTTATTTGCTTTTATTTATGAGTTTATTCTGTCTCTATAGTTATACAGATAGACCAATAAATAAAATTGAAGTGCTTGTTTCACTGTTTATTTGTCCGAGCTAATCTCCGAAACGGTTGAAATATCACTTTCATCTAGAAAAGTAATCTAGGCTACTTTTTTGTTCCGAAAATATTATTTCTAGTTTTGGTGTAGGAAATAAATTTGGAAAAACTTTTCAGTACAGTTTACTCGAATGAAAATTTTAGTTTTTTTGGTCGAAACCGATGATACTTTGGAATAACACACTGATAAAAAATAAACCAAAAATATAATTTCGTAGATTGAATAATTAACAGACTCTTTAACAAAGAAATTTTTACGATTTTATTTTAAAGATTTTATTATTGATATTCTGATATAAAAATTATTAGGCTTAATAAATACACGCTTGAAATCTAAAAATAATTTTTTATCATTTTAAATACTTAAAAAAAAAAAAATTAACTTGGATGAAGAAAAAAATTTCGAACCAAGAAAATAATTTTGAAGAGTTTAATTGTCTTGAATCAATACGAAAATTTCTTGAATCAAGTAAAATTTAATTAAACCAAGAAAAATTTCTTAGTTTAAGAATTTTTCTACTCAAATAAAGACAAGGTTCTTTAAAACTAATTTCTTGATTTTAAATAATTTTTTTTTCTGTGT